CCCCCACCTCCCTTCCCTCCGCTGGAAAACTAGGGTGTGGGCGGTGTGGGTGTGGCCTGTACTACTGCACTTTTAGAGTTGTGTACTTTTGGCACGTGATGGATGCACACACGCTGAAAGAATAGGACGGTCTCGGTGTTTACAATGTTTTTGAATTGTCAAAAAAGAAAAACAAAATGTCAGACAGTCAATTTATAACAAGGAATGTTTCAGTACAAATGTATAGGAAAATGTTGCTGTTAGAGGCGGTTGAAATTATTTATAGAGTATTTTATTAAGAGTTTTACGGCCCTCGCAACAGCATAAAATTCCGTTACACAAGCTAAGATTAGGGGACTCGATCTCGTAGATTAGTCTAGAGCCAGACGGTCAGTAAGACCGTATAGGTCTAGAGATTTCGGTGTTCGCCTCTCGTTCAATAGGTCCCGGGTTCGAAAGCTGACAGTGACGGAAAAGTTTCTTCTAACGATCTCTTTTCATCTCTTTTCCTGTTCTCTAACCATGTTCTGTTGTCTACTCTTCTCCACTTTATGCCGCCGACCCCTCCCCCACTTTTCCCCCTCCTCTGGGCTCAGAACTCTTTCTGCAGCCTTTCTATTTACTCTTTGGTTCCTTTTTTACTTCTGTCTCTCAGCGACACCCCTGATCTTAGGGTAGGTAAGGTCTAGCCTTCTCGGATGAGAGCGAAAAATCCATGAGGTCCTGAGTGTAAGTGTCGCACGTTAAATATAGTAGGGGTAGCAGCAGCAGTAGGACCAGTAGGCCTAAATGTACATGTAGTAGTGGTAGTAGCATCATCGTCATATCATCATCATCATCATCAGCAGCAGCAGCAGCAGCAGCAGCAGCAGCAACAACAGCAGCAGCAGCAGAACTAGTACACATAGTAGTGGTAGTAGCATTATTATCACCATCCTCATCATCATCCTCATCATCATCATCATCATCATCATCATCATCATCATCATCATCATCATCATCATCATCATCATCATCACCATCATCTTCGGCAGCAGCAGCAGCAGCAGCAGCAATAAAAGTAGTATCGGCAGCAGCTATAGTATCAGCAGTAACTTTATTGGTTTGGGAATTTCGTTTTATTGTAGTAAAATCTCTGATCCAGACCAATTCAGATGCAACAGTCATACGTAAAGCAGCAAAAGTTGTCAGTAGGCCTACAGTGTAGCTCACTCCTTTTCACAACACTGCAAACTGAAGCGGTATGAGGAATTTTTTATGTGATTGTGGGGAAAAACAAAGCAAAAAAAAAAAAATGTAAAAAAAAAAAAATAAATAACCCCTAAAAAAACGCAAAGCATCACTCCACTTTTTTCACAACACCACAGATTAAAGCGGCGTAGCCTACTAGTGAGTGTGAAGTTGTAAGCAAACAAAAATAATGAAAGAAAAAAACATCACCGTAAAATTAGTAAAATGGAGAACACGTGGTGTGGGATGGGTTGAAAACGTTGATAAGCCAAAAGCTGACTGTAAAGCGTACAGAACAACATGAGGGAGGTGCAAGAAACTGGCTACGGTACCAACTAAAAATACCGTGCCGAAAATACACATAACAAATCGTGTTCGGAGCAATAAAGAGATTATTTTACAGACCCGTACTATTTATATCCTCTTTGGGTCGGAGAAAATCCAATCGTATAATCTAAAGAGGTAGCCTACCGATAAAACAAGTGAGGAGGGAAGAAAACACAAGCTATAAAAACTTAGAGTTATCATTGACAGGGGTCAAACAAATGACGTAATTAGGCCTAATAATGTCCTCAAAGAAACAAAGAGAAACCAACTAGAGGCGATATCTGTTAAAACAGAGTATGTTCTGGAAAATGCTTCTGTGTGTAACTGGCTTGCACGTTGCATTTATAATAAACCATAATTTATTATTTCTGCAGTCCAATTCCTATGACACTTGTGTACATTGTACATGACGGAAAGTGAACCCTGTGCTTCGTCGAGCCAGCTGTTCGCGTGCCAAGAGACATAACTCTGCACCGTACTTTTTACCAGTTGTCCTCTCACGATTTATTCCCCTGAAGTGGAGGTATTCTTGTCCTGGTACACGTGTTCGAGTGGATCAGTGTGTATTTGTGTGTGTGTGTGTGTGTGTGTGTGTGTGTGTGTGTGTGTGTGTGTGTGT